TACCACAGAGACCAGTAACAGTAACCAGGTGACGCCACCTGGCACCCTTCTCCAGCCGGGCCTTAAGGAAGAGAGGGTCTGTGGGTCAGAGACACGTTGCCCGAGCAGTCTGGACCTTGCCACTCTTGGAAAGGCTAAGAAAGACACCAGTGCTCGCACATTTCAACGGACAATCCCCACCGACACACGGCAAACAGTGCCTACACGCGGAGAGCACTTGGTAAATATTTGCTGAGCCGATGAATCCAACACACAACCTGCCCGCTGGCCACTCTCCATGAGCTGGACGTGACAGTCTTCTCCCAGAAGAACAAACAGGCTTCCCAAGCCTGCTGCTAAAAGCATGTCCTGAAGGCAGAGGGAGGCCTCCCTCTCAGAGCGGGAGAGGACAGAGTGCTTCTGACCCGGCGTCCCTCGTCCTCTGCCCCCCATCCCCGGCATCCTTCCCCAGCCCCTAGCTGTGCGTTTCTGGACAGCGACGAACAAGAGAACGCCGTGGGCGCCAGGCCCGTCTCACCGCGTCAGAGTGCAAGGCGTCCTGAAATGAGGATAACAGAAGCCCCTCACGCGCGCTCACGTGAAGTCAGCCTACGCGCCGTGCCCGCGCACCGCACCCCGCGCCGCGTGCACCAGTGGGTTCCGCTCCTTCCCATCTGGCCCACGTCACCGTGGGCGACGGCAGGTCCGGGCGGAACGAGCTGACCCCAGCCCAGGCGCCTGACCCCAGCCCGACCCGCACGCCACTCATTTGTCTAGGACGGGGTCAGAAAATCTTTTCTGTAAAGGGCCAGGGAGTAAATACTCTGGGTCCGGTGGGCCGGATGGTCCCTGTCACAACCACCCAGCCCTGCAGTCCCGGCAAGAGAGCAGCCACAGACAACACGTTTGTGAGCGAGCATGGCCGTGTTCCAACAAAGCTTTGTTTATGGACACGGGAATCTGAATTTCACACATTTTTCCTGTGTCACAGATAGCCGCCTCCTTTTCATTTTTCCCCCAATCATTCGAAAACACAAAAACCATTCTTAACCCACAGGCCATACAAAAACAGGCGGCAGGCCAGACGTGGCCTGCTGAGCCCTGGACTGGCAGACACGAGCAGCCCAGGAAGCCCTGTGCAGGGTGAGGAGGACGCGTGAGCAAGGAGGAGCTCTCCCCCGCACCCCTCATTGGCCCTCCTAACACACCAGACAACCAGCAGCCGGCGGGGAGGCTTGACCCCAACTTCCCAGGGCCGTGTGGCCGGTGAGGGTGGGGGGGGGAGTCAGAGCGAATCTGCTGCCGTGGGGACCACCCCACCTGAAACCTTACCAGTTCCTGTTCCAGAGGACCCGTCCCCAGGTAGAGAGACGCCATCACGACCCGTCTCTTCGCCACTTTTATCTGGCCCTGAAAGAGGAAAAACAGTTGCCGATTGTTCCCAACAGCCCACTGAGAAAACGTACAAGCCTCCAGGCTGAGCTCGCTTACGCCTTACGGTGAGCTACCAAGTAAGGCCCCACGACCCTAATTTAAAATACTCCCCCCCGAAAGTAAGGCACGGCCTAACTGTACGAGCCACGACACAGCCATCGAAAGAACGAGGGAGGTCTGTGCCGTGACCTGACAGGGCGCCTGCAACATACCGCTGAGATGAAAGCAAGTTGCTCCCCCACCTACTGCCCCCCCCACACACCCTGCTGACACAGGGGCTTCACGACTGCCGAGAGCGGTCCCTGCGGGCAGAGCAGGAGGGCAGCGTGGGTGCCAACCTGCATGCCCCCTCTGCACCCGCATGGTTGACTTTTATAACGAGCACGTACGAATTTCCTCTGAGATGCGGACAGCTCCCTAGGGACGAAGACAGACCAGACGGGCATTCAAAGATGACTGTGACCTCGGTCCTCTCCCTAGACCTGCTCCAGCCCGGGGAACAATGACCCCCTCTGGAGTTCGAAGCACCCTGCCCCAGAGGCGGGTGGCGAGGGCAGAAAGGTCGGCGGCATTCCAACAGTCAGGCTCCGTCAGGCTCTCGAAGGAGACAGGAGGGCCAGGCCTCTGGGGAGGCGGCAGGCGGGAAGAGAGAAGCAGGAGGCAGGGCACGTGTCTGCTTCCCCACCAAAGAGGGACGTGGCCCCCCCAGCCCCCCAGCCCGCACAGGAGGGCCGCCCTGACTCCAGGAGCAGGCAAACACACCAGCAAGAAGCCTGCAGACAAGGAAAGCACGGAGAATTTTCCCAGCTCGCCACCCCCTCTGTCTCTGCGGGGACGCAGACCAACAACTCGGGTACAGGCACCCCGGCTCAGGCAGCAGACCGCCTGCGGGTGCCGCCGCCAGGCCCGTGGGAGCAGCCTCGGCTGTAACGAGGGCTCGGGGCCAGGCAGACGACAGGCTGCACTCCCCAATCAGGGAACAAGGCCACTCTGTGGGCCCTGGGAAGAGCTACATCCCACTCTGCACCACCCATGCGGGGAGAACTGCCCTCGACTCCACCCAGAAGGCAGGACAGAAGGGCCTCCTCCCGGCCTGCCGGGCCAAGCCCCGGGGCCCTTCCTGTCCTCCGCGGCCCTGCCCGGGCAGGTGCGCAGCCTGGGGATCGCCACACGGAGACGCAGCCAGTCATTCACCCAGAGTAGACTAGAACACGAAAACCTGCCTCTGCAGAACCGGTTTCTTCAAGCCAAACACAGAACCAAGTAGGAGCAAAAGGCAAACGGCCTGACATCAGTTCTAGCCAAAAAGGACACACGGGACAGAGGAGCAGTGCAGGGGAGAGGTGGGGAGAGCCTGTACACAGACAGGGAAACACGCACGCACGCAGAATGCATTCTGGAACGAGCCAGTCAGAAATTAAGCTAAGCGGCGCTCCGCAGCACAGCAGGGCCAAAGGAGAAGGGGCGAGTGTTCAAGTCAACTACAGACCGTTCGGTGGAAAAGTTAATCTCTACATACATTTCCTACGACCTCCCCCCTTTCTGCCTGTCTGACCTCGTCAGACCTTAACTCTAACATCATTGCCAACTTGAATCCAGAGAGTTCATGTTAATAAAAATTGATCAGCTTCAAATGAATTATTCCGATTCGCAGCTGAACCTGGAGGACTTGGATGAGACCGGAAGACCTGGGCACTGAAGGCTCAAGCCGAGCCTGCCCGCCTCCCCCCCCCAA